TAGTTAAACTACTCTTTCCAGAAAAAAATACGTCAAAGATGGTATCATCAAAATTCTAGACTTTGTGATCAAAAACCTATTTGTTGAGTGCGGTTGGTTGATATTTCAAGAGACTGTCAGTATTCCAATGGGTACTTATTGTGCACCCCTACTGACCGGCTTGTTTTTGTACTAATATGAAGCAGAATCCATACAAAACATCCTCAAAGACAAAAATAATAAAAAACATCTTTCAAACTTCTCTCATTTCTTTTTCATATATATTGATGATGTCCTGTCACTCAATAATCCACATTTCAATGAGTGCTTGTATCTATACGCCAGTGGACTTGAGATTAAGAATAGTACCGAAACTAGAAGGTCGGCTTCATATCTTTGATTTTTCTCAATTATGACACAGATGGACGACGTCAAACTAGAAGTATGACAAACGTGATGCTTTCAACTTTCCAATTGTCTATTCCCATTTCTCAACAGTAACATATCTTCAATCTCGTCGTATGGCGCATACATATCTCAGTTGATACGTCATGCTTGTGCATTTTCACACTATAAGGACTTCGTCAGCAAGGGTGTGCTCCTTACACAAAATCTGCGCATACAGAGTTAAGAAGAACAACAACTGAAACCGTAACTACATACATTTTACGGTCACCATCTCATATTGGTTGACCGATATAAAATGTCTGTTTCTGAACTCACATGTTTTGGCAGTCTTTATTCTTTAGATAAAGAATAGTCTAATCTGTAATTTTACCGATTGTTTCCTATTCCCAAAAATGGTGGGTGATGCATGCATCGCAGGAGACGCTTACCCTAACGTTGCTACCTGTATCGCTCCTTAAAAAGATCATACGAATCTCTCCGTTTTTTGTTTGTTTCTTTGATTTATTTTCTTACTAGATTTGAACAACGGTAACCCACTGTTGCCTTAATTACCTACGGTTGCCATATCTTCTTACCAGATTTGAACAACGGTAACCTACTGTTGCCTTAATTGATTACTCATATTGGTCTCAACTTTTCTTCACAAAATCTCATCAAGAATACTGTATGATCAAATACGGATTTGTCCTGTTTGGTTCATTTATGGCCAGTTGCTGAATTAATTCAAGTCAAGAACAGTTATGTTTAGACGATTATTCTTGAGATAGTTTAGTACAGTTTAGACTCTTTAACCAGGGTTTAAACATGGTCAAGCGTGAGTCAGAACCACACTAGTTATTGAAACCTGTCTATAATAAGTTAAGTAAAATATAATTATGTTCAGTTTGGCATAAATACATGTTAAAACAATTTAGTTTCAGAATTTTCCATACTATCAAAAATCAATTCAGTTTTAGAATGTAAAAACCCTAACCATCTCCGACTTGTGATAGAAGAATACGAAACTGCTACATTTCTCAAAGACAACTGTTACAACTAGAGGACAATTAACCACTGTCATATACATGCGTTGAAAAGTTGAAAAGTACCATAGATCATTCTTGGCGGACAAATGTGTTAGACAAGCGAAAATAAAAATGTTTTTTAATCTAAATGCAATTTATAGAATCTTGGTTATTTAGAGCATATACTCTTAAATGTTTTACCTAAAAGAAAGCAAAGGATTATATAACACACATAAATCAAACATATATTCGATATAATAAAACTCTACCCCCGGTTTCCCTGTTCCGTCGTCTATGTAAATAGATACCCACAAAAGGGATGTTTCGTTTAGGAGATTGAAGCTCATCAACAAACATAAAAACTAAAGAAAAACAAAATCCCAATAAAAAAAATAATTAAATTCTTGTCTACGAGCATTTTGATTAACAACTAACCAATGATCTAACATTAGGTTACAAAAAATCTAATCGTCAAAAATATTTCCGTTAAGCCTACTAAGATCTATATCATGTAATTATATAAAACATTTATTTCCCTTTAAGATACATCACTAGGAATTGAAAAATATGGCCGTGTTTACACCACAAAATATACTCTGAAATCATGCATACCTTGTCACCTTAAAAAGTTTTATGGCATGGCAGAAACTAGAGAAACAAAATTTTAAATGCCTTTATTTTTTCAGAAATTAAAAACTTACCTTGATTTCGAGATTCCTTTTTTCTGTAGAGATGGCAAAATAAACAAACACCTATTGTTGTGTAGATATCTTTTGTCCAATTTTTGTCCATGGCAATCAAAACAACTAACTAATTTATATTATGACATACGGGAAAAGAGAGGCGAAAGATACCAAAGGGACATTCAAACTCATAAGTCAAAAATAAACTGACAACGCCATGGCTAAAAAAGAAAAAGATCAACAGACAAACAATAGTACACAAAGCACAACATAGAAAAGTAAAGAATGAGCAACACGAACCCCACTAAAAACTGGGGGTGATCTCAGGTGCTCCGGAAGGGTAAGCAGATCCTGCTCCACATGTCGCACCCGTCGTGTTGCTCATGTTAGTACAAACCCGGTAATAAGTCTAATTCGGTAGGTCACATTCAAGAAAAGGGGACGGGATTGTAGTTACGACATTAGGAACATATCCGCTATCATCTGTGAAACGGATATTCCTTAACGGTCAACCAACTCGTGATGGCATCCGTAAAATTTACGAAGGGATGATTCCAACTTCACCACAAATTTCTCAAACAATTTTCTAAACTTATAAGAATAAGAAAATTTGGTATGATTGCCAATGAGACAACTCTCTACTACAGTCCAAATGACATAGGAGTTTACAACTATAGGTCACCGTACGGCCTTCAACAATGAGTATTTTGACACTTTCAGTGGGAACGGACACTAGAGGCTCTTAGGAGCATGTGTCGACCTAGTCCTATGTGCATCTTCAACAATATAATTCATGATTAATATCTTTGTTGTTGGTCTTGTATTACTGATTATGTTTTCTGTTGAGTTTCTCTCGACCTTCTACTGTTTTATTCCAAAACACAAAAAGGGTAAACATTGTCATTCAAGGGAAATAACCCATATACATATACTCAATACATGGATTCAACTAACGATTTTTGGCAACATTGTCTTATTTGTAAATCTTGTCTTGTTGATAAATTTTACTATTTAAAGTTTCTATTTATCTGTTATAGTTTCAAGATAAAAGGCAAAAACGCCAAAAAAATCATTTTTTCTATATACAGTCTTTTTTTTTCTATTAAAGTTTTCAAGATAATAGATAAAAATGAAAAATGTGAAATTTGTTATTTAAGGGCAATTACTCCTATAAAAAATTGTCTGACAGTCTTCATTTAAATGGTCAGTAGGTAGCATCAACATTCTGCACATTTCGGTCCCAATCAGATTTTCTCATTCTATATCGATTTTCACGTTGATAAACAAAATTTGCATGCTACCCCTCTGTGTGTTTTATTTTTAGCCATGCCGACCAAATTGGTTGGCAGATGGGATCATCTGACACATTTTTGAAACTAGATACTATAATAATTGTGGCCCAGTAGTTTTAGAGGAGAAGAGTTTAGTAAACGTTAGCGAACGACGGACGCCAATTGATAGAAAAAAGCTCAGACTAAAGGGCAAGGAGAGTAAAAAAAGGAATCTCAAAATCCAAATAAGTTTATAGTTTTCTGAAACATAAAATGCATTTAAAATTTATTATCTAGTTCCTAACTTAACTAGGGGCACAGGTCTGTCTGCATTCTTTGGATGTAAACGCGGACATATTTGTCAATTCCTTCTGATGAACCTTAGGCTAATGGGTGGTCGAAGAACGATAACACGCATACAAATTACGATTGCACAAGTTAACACATTAATCTATTGTTATTTCTCTGGTCGATTGTGTTTTAGATCAAGAAAGTTAATGTAACTGTGGAAGACATTGATGATAATGGACCTGTATTTGAGAAAACAGAAGTTTCAAGATGTGCACTTCCAGTTTATACAGCAGGCGCTGCAGAACAATTTGTTGTAAGTATAACAGTAACTGTTTTCCTGTGATTTATACTATAAGTGCTAAGATAGTACCCGTTTTAAATTGACTTTAAAGAAAATCCCTCTTGCACGTCTGATATTACACAACCTTATAATACCGTTTCTTGAGTACGTTTTGTAAATTTTAGTGACGTATCATGAATTTTAAAGTTCTAAAATTAGTTCAAAATTATTACAAATTGAAGTTTTTCGATTTTTTAACTTTATAATTTTCCAATGTTTATAGCACACAATTTTTAATATATGTATAGTAGTTATAATATTTTGTACGATATCATATTATCACGACGGTATAAGAAAGGATTTCCAAATATCGATTTACTCAAAATAAGAACCAGCCAAAAATGTATTCAAACATGCTCCATTACAAATATTCATAATATAATATGTGCATGTCGTGCATACTATTTCAGGGATCACTCTATTTATCTCCAGGAGCAATCCATGCAGTAGATGGTGACCTGGTGAAAACAAACAAAGTGTCGTATGCTTTCCTGCACGGTATTTCTTATTCCATGATTACTTAAATTTTTTTTCCTTTCACAAAACTACATTTCTCGGTTAACACATCAAAAACAAAGTTAGTAACCCTATGATTATTAATTATCTATCAAACGGAATTTTCAAGAAAAATCTATAGATTGGTTTTGGAGATTTGATGATTTTAAGACAATTTAAAGAACTTTTCACCAATACATGTAAGTATATGCATTTACACTAATGTACATCTATTTCAAAGGAAATCATTCAGATATATCAATTATATATTTCAGAACATTAACGAATTTAATTCCTTGTTCTCATTGTTTTCGATTGTAAGTTGAAGTTTAACATAAACTCATCGTAGATACTAGGCTTAACATTTTGTATGCTAGACGCGAGTATTGTCTACAGTAGACTCATCAGTGACGCTCGAATAAAAAAAGTTGAGGTATGTATAGAATATTTAAAAAGCCCTGACTTGAAATTTACTGTCTTAACACAAATGGTTGAACATCTGTCACAAACACACGGCAAAATAACTTACATTCAGATAAATGTAAGAAATCATTGAAGAGGCTTCCGACTTAGAACAGACACAAACATATATAGTTACGTTGGCAATATGAACACTCAACGTGGGTTTCCTTCTTCTGTATTTTAGACAGACTCAGATAGTTTATACTTAACCTATTTCCATGAACACTTCGCCTTGTAACCATATAATGATATATGAAAAACACTTACAATCACTTTCCCTTTACAGGAGATCCCGTGGATTACCAACGTTATTTCATCATAGACTACTCTACTGGTACCGTGAACAAAACCTCGAACATCACCACTTCCGATCCTCATGATTTTGTTATAATTGTACAGGTACATCTTATATTACATAAATAAACAGAAAAGAAAAACTCGCTTTACTTTACTTTACGTGCAATATATTGATACCACATGCAAAATATAATGCATTATTGTTCTCGATAGCCGTTTCTTAAATTCCTTTCCAACGCTTGCTTTATTCAATATAAGCTTGCTTCATCCATGTGAATATATCACAAGTATTTAAGTCGGCGAACTATAATTTCGTTGTTATTTGAATTCAACTAAAGGTTAAAGAAAGGGATTTCTTAAAGGAGACAATGCAACGATTATTCCTGACATTGCATTCCATTGCATACATTAATCCCAATAGCCTACAGTGAGCAGAAAATATGAATGATAAATAATAAATGCGAAAGGTAAAAAATTGATTAATAGGTGAATTATTCTTTGTTTATTTCTTTTAATTACTCCTAAAAGTACATATATATCAAAACTAATCACATTATCAGAAAATATAGTTTTTCTTTCAGGCTACTGAGGAGTCCTCTGCGAAACGAAGTCGAGTGGCTGTCTTAACAGTGTCTGTATCTCTGCCACATGTACCTTTAAAATCAAATCCCTACAGAGCCAACCGAACCGTCATCGCTGTCCTACAGATAATCAGTGGAATAATTATTCTCGGTTTTACCGTTGGCTTTATTTTCATTGTACGCCATCGAAATAAGAAGCAAAAAGTAGAATGTAGCAAAGAATTTACAAAAACTGATGATATCGAAGATATTGAGGAATTCATGGTTGCTACATCAACAAATGAAGTCACCACATGTTCTCTGCCAATTCCACTGTTTATTCCAGAAGAACCTACGAAATTAAGTTTGAAGTCACCAGATCCAATACAAACAGCATCCCGGTCACCCGTGTCCCCTAGAAAGGTGAAGTTTGTGCTCCCTGAAAAAACATATCGTATGATCTATGGTAAAAAAAGAAAAACACTTACGAACAACGTAATGAGATAACAGGAATTCATATCAAAACGCGAATGTAGTAAATAAAGGTTTTTTATTATAATTTGTTATTAATTTTTTGTTTCGAATTGTTCATTGATTTCACACCTCAGTTAATATAGAATAATACGATAAAAATAATTTTCCAGTTTTTTGTTTGCTTTTTATTTTCTCTGTTAAATTTCAACAAATACAAAAAAATAAGGGGTCTTTTTAATGTTGTCTTATTTACAGAAGGAGACGTGGTCATACGTCAATTAGACGGCAACCCTACGACAAAAATAACTAAAAGACATCTAGGTAGCAACATAAATCTAAGATTGAATATTTTTCAAACAATTTCAATATAAATTTGTAAAATGAAAATTACAATAATAACAAATTTGCAATTTGTAAACTTGTTCATTTATCTATTTATTTTTTACACTGTCGTTACATTGATATCAAAAAGTTCCAAAATTGAATTCATTAAATTTATGTCAAGCTCTAAATCGTCCTTAGTCAATAATTGTTGTAAATAAATTAACTAGTGACAATAAAAAAAATCTGCCATTACATCCAATTCTCAAAATAACGAAAACGATTTAGATATCTCAGGACAAGAACCTGAAAATGTAGCGGGATTCTAATTATACAAAAATATAAAATACATTTAGTACAAGTATTCCTGTGGAATTATTTTATAAAGACAATCTATAAGATGATCTTATATGAATCACATTATATTTGGGTATACGTCAATATGAAAGAAGCCCAACGGCTGTGTAACAAACAAAATTAAAAGAATTTAGATGCCAGCGAACGCTTTTCAGAAATAGACACATGTCTTAAAACACTTTATCAAATGATAAATCACAAATGTTTAGAAAAATAGTGAATATATTTACTCCGCTTTGTCATGATTTATACTATACATTCTTCATCCGGTGATGAAAATAGAAATCATAAAGAAACAAAGAAACAAAGGTTATAACTCCCACAGACAAGGTTTGCTGTAGATGGATTTGGCTATTCTCCTTATGTCTCTTTTGTTCAAATAGCTTCTAAATCATTGAAGTATTTATACATAGTTGGCTTCAAAAGTTTTGGATTTGAGTGTTCTTGATGAAGTGATGAAAGTGTGTGCTAAAAGCGTATCGGACACCCTCAATTATTGATGAAGTGATGAAAGTGTGTGCTAAAATCGCATCGGACACCCTCAATTCTTGATGAAGTGATGAAAGTGTGTGCTAAAATCGCATCGGACACCCTCAATTCTTGATGAAGTGATGAAAGTGTATGCTAAAATCGCATCGGACACCCTCAATTCTTGATGAAGTGATGAAAGTGTGTGCTAAAATCGCATCGGACACCCTCAATTCTTGATGAAGTGATGAAAGTGTGTGCTAAAAGCGTGTCGGACACCCTGAATCTATAAAGTCTTATTTCATTTACCACAGAGAAAAAACTCAGCGATCAACACACAACTTCCAAAATGACTAAAAAAAACTTTAAATATATAATTAGAAACAAACACTGTTTATTATTGACTTTTAAGGGCACATGAACATGCGGCTGGGTTAGACTAGATTTTTTTTTATTTTAATGATTTATTACGGTAAAGTTGGTCTATTATATTGGAATAGCAATCCCTTAAAGATTACTTCATTTCAAAAATGAACACAAATATCAAGTAAAAATGGACTTAATAATTTCTCTGTGTGCATAACAAATCTATTTCTTTTTTTTTTTTAAACGAAATAGGAATTTTAACAACTTATTATAAAAATACGGAAATGTGGTATGATGGTTTTTTAGACAACTATCCACATGAGACCAAAGGCTGAGGATGTAAACAGCTATATGTCACCGTACGGTCTCAGTTCAACATTAAGCAAAACCCCATACCGTAAAGTAAGCCATAAAAGACCTCGACATGAAAAAATGTGAAACAATTCAAAAGAAAAAAGCAATCACATGAGTTATGCTTAAACAATAAACAAAAACAATTATGGCAGACAACAACCAACGACAACCATTGAATAACAAGCTCCTGACTTGTGACGTACACCTGAAGAATGTGGCAGGGTTTAAATGTGTGTAGGTGCTCAACCCTAACCTAACCTTGAACAGTGTTACACAGCACAACTTTCAAAAGAACAAACTGTAAAATCAGTTGGAAAAGGCTTCACTCATTTAGATCGGCACGAAGCACAAATTTTTTTTTTGAAAACACACAAAAGCACAGATCTGAAATACCGATCTAAGAATACTCTTAATAACTGAAAAATAGTTCAAAACCATCTTCAACGAATTTATAAACCATGTTCCATAGACTAAATATAAATCAGAACACATCAAACGGATGTATTGTGATGACGTCATAAACTGTCTGAGAAATCCATGAGCTTGTGTTCCAAGTCAGGAATATGACAGTTGTATTCCATTCGTTGATGTGTTTGAGCTTTTGATTTTGCCAATTGATCCGTTTTAAATTTTCCTTGAAGTTCGGTATTTTTGTTATTTTACTTTTTGTTTTATGCCAAAAAATAAGTATCTACAGGATGTAAGACTATGTCAGTGTTCATAACTGTTTAACGATGCATATTAATGTACATCTTCGCTAGCCAAGGGTTACGATCCACTTCCCTCCTCTCCACCCTTGGCGGATTCAGATAGAATTTCGGAGACACAAGGTAATGATTTTCATTGGTTGCAGTCGAAACTCACTGCATCCAATCAAAAAGCGCCTATAGCATGATCACGTGTAAATGTAGAAAGTGTATGTAAACAATTGCCACGTGCTTATTGTGCAACAAGTCTTTACATCCCTGAACATACGACTATATTTAGTGACAATTTGAATGTTTTTAATCAACTAATAGAAGTTCCTGTGTATGTTTCTTGCACAAATGCATTAATGTCAACGTATATTTTCGTTTCCTGCTTTACCAAGTGTGTAGAATCTAGACGCTACCGTGTTTTTACCTCCAAATTGAAGAGTTCAAGTGCTACCATTGGTCAAGAATAATGTATTAGGAATGGGCGTGACTTTAATCTACCGATAGATGGCGCAACATTGTTATCACAAATGTTGGCTTAATCTGCCAAGGGTGGAGAGGAGGGAAGTGGATGGTAACCCTTGGCTAGCGAAGATGATTAATGTATAAACAAAATCAATGTTAGTGAACTGATTTGTAGGTCACTAGACCATACATTCATTGTTTATCAAATGTTATCAAGCAGTGGGATGGCAAAAGTTTTCTTTACGTATTCTTCTGAACATAAATTTATATTGCTTGGTTGGACGCCCACAAATTTTAAGTTTAATTGTGGTAATATTACAATATACCAATATGCATAAAAATTCTCTATGTTGTCTACTACCTCCGGCAGAGTCGTCTCTTGACTAGACCCACTGCATGATCATTGTTTGACTTCATTTTATTATCACAATTCTATTCAAATTTCATGAAAATCTTAAAGAAATATCACAGTAGCGGGTGACATGTTTGTGACTATAAATGGGACATCGCGGGGTTTTATTCGGGGAAACAATCCTCAGTGAAACAGTCTCAATAAACTTATTCCTGTGGAAGATATTTATAATTTATTTTGAGAAATAAACTGCATTGTAAGTCGGTACAGCTGCTGGTAATTCCACAAGTTCTATCAGATTAAATTGGCTTTAACTTGATATTTCCCGTTGCCGAGGATTATATTTTTGATGAAAGTAATCATTCAAGTTTGGGGAATATTGACCCAGAAGGAAAATTAAAAAAAAAACTTTCTTTTAGTTTATACCTACAAGTGCAGAAAAGATATCAAAATAGATAGATAGATTGTAGAAAAGCTATCATTTATACCAACAATTACAAAACCGTTCGATAGGTCTGCCGCAGAATCATATATTTTCCCATATAGGTCAAAGAAGCACATGTTGCGCCCTTTTTCTAAAAAAGTGTCCCTTTCCTGAAAAATAGCAAGCGTCCAGTCTCCACATTTCTTAAAAAAGTGTTGAAAAGGTGCTGGCAGCACATCTATCCAAAGTTTTAGAAAATACATTCTGACAATTTTTGAAAGTCTTCAAGAAAGGTCATGGATGTCAACCTACCTGTTATTAAACTTTTTTGAAGGTTGCTTTATGCTGCCAAGACATGCGTATATTACTACAATGTTCATGGAGTTACCCAAAGCATTCGATTTTCTACCCACAATATTCTAATTTGTAAACTGACTGTCTATGGTCTATCTTACATGTATGTCCTCAAACATTTATTATATTATTTATCTGACAGAAAACAGCATATAAAAGAGTGGCAATCTTAGTAGCTGAGCTAGCTAGTATTCAAAATGGTGTCCTAAAAGGCTCTATTTTAAGACCTTTGCTTGGTTATTTCTTTATTATAAATATGTGTTTCTTCATTCAGAAAGAAGAAATATAACGTGCAGGTAACCACATTCCACATATTTAGACAGTTTTTTCACCTACGTATGTTTAAGAAACAGACAAACGTTTCCATATTGTGTTTATCTTGTTCATATATCCTTATTTACTATATCTTTCCACAAATTTAATTTTGAATCAATACTGAATCATAGAAAAATGGGTTTTAACCAACCTCCATACGATCCAAGATTCTGTAATGAGGAGTTCCTAAATTGCACCCATGCTTAACAACACATCCGTAAAAATCGAATACCAGATACATTTTTTGTACTTTGTTTTATTACTTTACATTTTTGAACATTTGACAATAGTCCATGTTTGTTATGCATTTTGAATGAAATGGATGTTTGTAACATATTTCATTTTTCATGAAAAGTAGACGTTTTGTAGACGTACATTTTACTTTTTTCATTGGAGACTTTACATGTTGATATATAATATGACCATTTTGATTATATATATAAGTATGTTCAACTATGTTGAAAGACGTGCTTAATGAAAAATCAAACCATTTTCATTTTAACTACATGTGTAACAGCCACTATGTTCCGTCAGTTACTTTGTTCCGGCGGAACTTTTCAACTAGTTATTTCGTTCCGATG